TAAAATGCTGTTTTAAAAATGATGTTCCTAAACCGCTTTAATGGACAATTTCAAACAGATAGTGTTGTTTTCGAAGGTTTCAAAAGTAGTTTATAAAGAACTGTTGTTATGCCTTTCTTCATTAGCACCAACGTGGCAGGTCTGCTATAAATTTCTGGGCATTTGAGCTTAGATCTGAAGTCCCCACTATCAGCATGTCTGAGGACTTGTAGAGTTATCGTGACTTCGTCCAATAAATAGATTGACAACATAATCTTTGTTTAACACTCAAAAATATATTATTCAATATTCTATTTCCGTTACTGCTTAGTACAAACTTGAAAGAATGACTTAATCAAATATATTTATACAATACCCGTTTTACTGAATAAACCCAAAATATTTAGGTAGCATCTCTTTGGTTTGGTGTAGAGCGGTTTTGGCAAAGTAACCTAATTTGTTTATATAAAGTACCTGTTTTTGGTTCTGTTTATTTTTATTTGCCAAATGTTTTATACTGCGTGTCAAGTTCGTCATCCTACATGCCTCTGATAAAGGTTAGAGAGTGATAATTCAATGCACTATCGGTAAAGGTTCTTTTCAAATCGGCGAAATGTGAACTGCTTAAAAATAAACAATACAAATGCGATTTTAAAAAATACATCATTCTGTAGCAATCGTTTCACCTAGAATTATCTGTGAAGACAAACGCAGAACTGGTAACATTTCTAAAGCTTGTTTGATCGTATCAATTATGGAGCTTTTATCCTTTAATTTCCTGAATTATGTGATTTACTTTATTCTCTGACGTCATTCGATCATTTGTATGATAATGAATTTGTCTTTAATGCATTCAATGATGAAAATGGGCTATTTTTTCCTTATTTTTTAAACATCGGATTAGGTTATAGTGTACTGTAGTACTCCCATCACATGAAAGCTGAGTACAATCATACCTGTGCACATGTTTATTAGCAATTTAGCCTTTATAATAAATCTTACATTTTTTTAAGATAAAGGAAGGAGGGTGACTTCAGGATTCGTTGTATCACACATATGTGCTGATTCGAGTACACCATAATTTTAGAGTAAATGCGAGTGGCGATCGTCATTTAAATGACATTGTTCACATATAATGTTTTCTCTGCAACATCATTATCCCAGCCAAACAAAGTTAGGCTGAAATGGTTAGGAGATTCGTAAACCGTTTACGCGTGACACATTGACCAAAACATTAGCGGTTTAATCGCAGTTGGAAAGACCTCATTTACAGAATGTGAGCATGCAAGATATAGCGCATAATCAACGCTTCCAGTTTGTCACATCCTGTAAAATTTAGGTGTTACACTTCCCTTCTTTATTTTGCATGAGTTTTACTTGTGCATTACGTCATTAATTATTTTGTCGTGTTCTTCGCTATTTCATGCAGAAATTTGTATAAAAATCAGGCTTATCGTCAGGATTTTTGAAACGCAAAGTGCTGAACTTGTGTACTGCTAGCGTTACATTGATTTAACTGCATAACCGGAAGACTCGTAAACCGTCAAAGGAAGCAAATAAGTTTGATTGAAACTGCGTGGGTGTACGCATGTCTGCAAAAAGTCTTAGCAACGATGTAGCTAGAAATATTTTGTATCACCTAATAGAATATTATATTAAGATACATGCTAGTAATATTTTGTATCATATACTAGAAACTTGTATTATGGTAAATTTTAGCATTACTTTCTATCACATTTTAGAATATTATATTAAAGTATATGTTTTTATTATATCTTACAATATTATTTTAAGGTACATACTGGTAATATTTTGTATCATATATTAAAATATTATATTGAGGTACCTACCGGTAAAATTTTATGTCATACATTAATTTATTAGAATATTATATTAAGGTACAAACTGGTAATGATTTTGTATCATTTATTAGAATATTATATTAAGGTACATGCTGGTAATATTTTGTATCATATATTAGAATATTATATTGAATTACATGTTTAGCACTCGGCCGCACCTGATGTTGATGTTTAGCAATACTTCAATTTATGTCTAAAGTTAATTTTGTGGTATGTGCTTTTGTTTTGTTTCAGAAAAGGATGGAAGTGAGAAAGATTATTTTCATTTTTAAATTTGTTTTGTGTCTAAATTTGTTTAGCATACCCCTGGTGTAAAAATGCAACTGAAAATATGGAGTGGGTTAACCGCTTGCCGTTAATACTCGAACCATCCATTAATACTCGAACCATCCGTTAATACTCGAACCATCCGTTAATACTCGAACCATCATGTGTTTCCAATTAATCATCAGAGTCCTGTATGATGCATGGCCAAAGTCTGGCAAACTCATAATGTTTTTAGGAAGAGCAAATTATTTAGATATCTTTGACATTACAACGGTCGTATACACTACCTTAAAGAGCTTTTGAAAGACGTTCTTCCATAAAATCAGTTCTGTTTCGTACCATTCACCATCACATTTTATTATTATCATATCAGTGTGCTTCTCGGAGGAATATCCTGTTGTCGGCAACATCCACTTCTGAGCGATGGCTTTTACTTCGCTATGACATGCATTAGGTTTCTTTGTAGAGACGAGTAATATATTGTTTATTGATCGCCTTTTTTGCAGAAACAAGTCATACTAAGATTCTGCTGCAAAATTACTTTTAGATAAAAACTAAACACACAAATACCCTGTGAACTAGAAATGAAACAAGTGACCATTTTTACAATTACAAAACGTAATTACCATTTTTACAATTACAAAACGTTATTACCATTATCATCATTACAAAACGTAATTACCATTATTATCATTTCAAAACGTAATTACCATTATTATCACTACAAAACGTAATTACCATTATTATCATTACAAAACGTAATTACCATTGTTATAGTTACAAAACGAAATTAACATTTTTATCATTACAAAACGTAAATACCATTATTATCATTACAGAACGTAATTACCATAATTATCATAACAAAACGTAATTACCATTATTATCATTTCAAAATGTAATTACCATTATTATCATTACAAAACATAATAACCATTTTTTTCGCTGCAAAACGTAATTACCATTTCTATCATTACAAAACGTAATTACCATTATTATCATTACAAAACATAATTACCATTATTATCATTACAAAACATATCATTTCAGTAAACTAATTCTATATGGTTTCAGAATGCATGAATTAGAAGCTTTATAAACTTAGATTGATTTCAATATTGCGAAGAAAACAAAAAAAAAAGACCAATGATTGGTGAATTCGAAATCTGGCCTTTTATCACTATACGAACTAACTCGAAATGTAATGCAACTGATTAAAAAACAAATTCGGTATATATATATATATATATATATATATATATATATATATATATATATATATATATATATATATATATATATATATATATATATATATATATATATATATATATCCTTTGTGTTAAACAAATCTGCTCCAACAGTCTTCTTCATAAGATGTAATCTGGATACAAATTATGTTTCCAATTTAGAAATTATTCATTGTCTATATCTATGGCATAAAATAGGTCGTATTTATGACTTCGCGCAGTTTTGTCGGATTATTAATTTCCCCTTCCTCCCCCGTTCATTTCTACACAGAAATTTAAACTTTTACCCCGTCATATATGAAGTCACGAAGCTTTTCCCCCAACCCAGATAAAAAGTTTAAAAAATAAAATTGCAACGAAATTACATTGTTTAGCAAAGTGCACATCAAAACAACTGCGTTCTGAGTTATATAATACTTTTAAAAAATGACTTGATCAATCCGTGTTCGGTCATCTGAAACATATAGCAAAAATTATGAATAGGAAAAATACCTAAAATTCAAGGAATAAAGTTGTTAACATCTCATTTATCTATCAGTGTTCTCTTCTTTTTCCAGTAGTAATACTGTTATGCAACGTAGTTAACAATGTCTCAGGTTGATGGCGCTGGTGTTGTTTCTTTGACGTCACATATTAAAAACCCTCCCCATTATCGTCACACATCGTCAAACAAGTTAGACCACGTCACCCCGTTGCTTACGCTATAAATGCACGGTCCCAAATGCTTTCTTTCGTGAAAAGAAAGATACTTTCACTTGTTTAAAACTCTTCAGCTTTCGTGGCCTGTTGGACGCAGTTGGAATAGACTGGTAATATTGAATGAAACCTGCCATGAAGATTTAAATATCATGCAAGATTACATAAGTCACAGTCTGAAGTGATGAAGGTGTATTTCTTAATCTATGCCCGTCTTTTGTTCGAACTGTGTTTTAAATGGAGACTTAAGGCTTTAGTACCAAATCAAATATTGACATTAAAAGACTTGTTCTATCACTCAAGACTCAAGATGATTGCATCTTTTCTAAACTAAGTCCAGAATGTCCATAAAAAGAAAAAATATCACACTTTCTGCTGACTGTCTTCGAACTAATTTTTGAGACGAAGTGTTTAATAAAAATCAATTAATTATTTGCACCATAGAATATCAACAATGTTTTAGACTGAAAATATACCATTTGTACTGGACATTAAATTTGAGTACCAATTGAAATTTAATTCACGTGACGAAATTTATTCAAAAAATTGCTTTGGTCGCTACAGGGACTCTATGGAAATGTAGTGGAAGAAACAAGCAGGTTTTATCCTTAATGATGAATCGATGACACATTACGAGCTCTTCCTAAAAGTCCCAAATACTCCCTATTTTGCCCCTAATTCTAATGACCTTAACACAACAGTCGTTGTCAGCTAAAACTTTCATAGACGTACAAATATTACAGCAATTTTCCAGACATATACCTACAATGTCTGCAGTGTGGCAGTTTATAATGAAGTCTCGCACTGGGGCTTCATTCCGCAGGTAGCGTCATGTCCCACTCATTAACATTACCCTGACACCAGGCCTACCGGTCCTAACACTAAACTTGTAACACTAATGGCCAAGCGAGTCAGCTGTTAGGATTGTTTCTATAAGTCTTTGGTATGACTCGGCCTGGGTTCAAACCCGCGACTTCCCGCATGCGAGGCGGACGCTCTAATCACTAGGCCACCAGAACGGTCGAAATATTACGTGTAAGTACTCATTTTAGTACTGCAAAGAAGTACCTGGCAATGTTTCAAACGCTTTATTGGCTATTCGTTAAACCAGTGTTAGAATATGCTTACGAAGTGTGGAATAACCGCTCCGATTTTCCTCATGTACATTAGGAAATGTTCTAAGCGGACATTGTAGATATAAGTAAGTCAATATATGTGAACAGAAACATTCTGTTCTTTAAATGCTAATTTGAAACTTCAAAATTATGGCGTATGCCTGACATATTATCCACGTTGTAGTAGAATAGCGTGGTTTCGCCGTATTTCTTGGACATTCTTCATCCTCTTGGAAAGAGGAAATATCAAAATAATCTCATCGTGATAGACAACAAATAACTTCTATGCTGCCCAGGCTCGAGCTTTTATTTTCTTATTACTTTCCTGATAGCTCCTGGAATTCCAAATCTCTAGAATGTTCTTGATCATTATATTTGTGCGTGTTAAAACCACATGTTAGCCAGTGTCAAAAAGGCACCACAGTGTTTCACTCGATGCCGTAAGAAACTGAATGTTATTTAACTCATTTGAAGAACAAGTGTTTTAGTTTTAAGACACATCTCAACCGAGTGAATCGAACACACCTGATCAAGTGGATTCCAGTTTCAAATTTTAACACACTTTTTCTTTGACTCCTCCACGTACCAATAAAATAGAATTCAATTGTTTCGGTCTATTAGATTCTTTATTCCTCTTACTACCACGAAACATTTACCTAAAAAAGAATTTATCTTGCAATAAACTCATATATATATATATATATATATATATATATATATATATATATATATATATATATATATATATATATATATATATATATATATATATATATATATATATATATATATATATATATATATATATATATATATATATATATATATATATATTAAGGAAACTCTTAAATTCGACTGCTGATTTTTAATTTTGTTTACGACGTACTGTGTCAATCAAGCTTTTACACCGTCACACATTCATCTATTCTCCTTTCATCATCTTCCTCCTCTTGGAATTTTGTCAATTTTGCCAACAATTGAATAAAATATTATTGCTGTTAGTGAGTAGTTTCTTCTTTAATGCATTGTACTGTATATAATTCAGACAAAAGCCAAGAAAGGAAAGACAACAATGGCTACTATTGACCCGTTGTCGGTGTTATCAAAGTAGGGGCATCAGAGTAAGATGGCGTGTTCCATTGATATTTCATTGAGTTCATGTCTCTGTTGCTTTTAGCATGTTAACACTCGATGTACATTCCTAAAGGTGATACTTCCGTACATTCGGTGCACGTGCCTAAGGCCAAAATCGACATGCACTAGGTTTATATGCCTAATGATGCAATTGCCATGCACCGCTGACAGATGCAAGACAAATAGCTGGATTCGCAAGGAAATATTCCTAACGTAATGCGCTTGTGAAACGTATTCGAAGGAGAATTGTTTTCCCTATAAGACTATGTAATGGCAAATTGATTTAACGAAGTTCTCGTATGACCGTGCCTCGAGAAAAAAATGATAGTATATGTTCACCGGCACTATTTTTTCCAGATCTAGGCTACAAGAGTGAGACTTACGGGTGAAATATTCGTTTATACACATCCCGTTACTCCTCCTATGGAACAATTGTGTTTCCGAAGGTGATGAATCATTCCATAAATCCGTTTAATTCAACCGGAGTAATAATTATATTTTGCAGGTCACTTCCGGTGTCTAGATCGCTGAAGGTTGATCACTGTACCTTCACTATTTGAAATGTTCTTGTTCCACAAGAAAAGTATTGTTAACAGCTTGACAAGTCCGCCAGAACGATATAGTTTCGTCAGCTAAATTGGTCAAAGGATATGCAACGCAATAGTGCAATTCGGAGAGAATTGTGGGTAATTATGAATATTAATCAACTGAATTCCTAATATTAAGCACTTTAGAAGAATAACTAGTTTAAATATTGTCCGCTGCTGACACGGAATTATCAATAAGAACTGCTAAATACTCCAGACAAATTTCAAGGATTCTTCGTGTAATTGCAATCACGTCTTGACGTGTTTATACTCATTTGATTATGACAAATATAACGAACAGATCATAATAAATTTGTATACGTGTGCTTTGCATTCATTTCAATTTTGACATTGATTTTCGCTTTTAAAGCGGGAGATCGAGAGTGACATTTACAGCTGTTTTAATGGTATAATTTTAGGATTTGATCGAACAATGATGCAAGATTCTGCACACAAAAAGCTACGTTTTTCACCTGTTTGAATAGTTATAAACAGTCTGCGCGGTATAACATTGATTAGAGGGGATATGGACGCCAAGGGATTAACAAAAACAACATTGTAATTTTTCTCTTTAAATAGCATACTACACGTCATTATTACATATTGAAAGCATTGCAGTGTTTTGCAGCAAGATTACTGTATTTTCGGAAGTCTTATTTTAAGTTAGATTTGTTCTTCGCTGAACTCTGACCTAATTATGACCTCTCAAGGACAATATATAAGGTCACATTCACCATTATCAAAGAGTATAGTGTCATACAATTCTATTAAACAACACTGCATTACAATGGTATCATAAAATAGTATTATAAAATAGTATCATGCAATTGTATGATACAATACTATAATGCAATAGTATTATACAATAATATCATACAATAGTAGTATGCAATAGTATGTATTTTCATACAATAGCATTATACAATCGTAAATTACAATAGTCTCATAAAGTAGTATCATGCAATAGTATACTACAATAGTATTGTACAGTAGTTATACAATTATATAACACAATAGTATCACACAAGAGTATAATGCAATAGTGTAATAAAATAGTATCGTACAATAGTATACAATAGTATCATACAATATTATTATATAATAGTATCATACAACAGTACTGTATACTAGTATCATAAATAGTATCAGATAATAGTGTTATGAAATAATATAACACAATAGTGTCATACAACAGTATACTACAATTGTATTAATATTAGGAAACAGTATTATACAACAGTATTATACAATAGTGTATACTATCAACCAATACCATAAAATCCTAAAATACAATAGTCTCATAAATTGTATTGTACAAAAGTGTCTTACAATAGTATAATAATATAATATTACTCAATAATCTAATGCAATAGTATCATAAAACAATAGTATACACTAGTATAATACAATAATATACATACAATCGTATAACGCAATAGTCTCATAACTTGTATTATACAACAGTATCGTGCAATAGCATTATACAATGGCATCATACAAAAGTACTATGCAATAATACTATGCAATTGCATCATATATTAGTATAATATAATATTATTATATAATGGTATTATACAATAGTTTATATTATCGTACAATGTATTATACAGTCGTATAATACAATAGTCTCCAAAAATTGTATTATATAAAAGCATCGTACAATAGTATCATATAATAGTATCATGCATCAGTATGTTATATTATTATACATTAAATAATAAAATAGTATCATACAATAGTATTATAAAATATTATAATACAATAGTATTATGCAATAATATATCATATATACATACAATCATATGATACAAAAGCCTCATAAAATTGTATTTTACAATAGTATCATGCAACAATATCATAAAATAGTATCATACAATAAAATACAATAGTATCATCAAATTGTCATATAATAGCATACTATAATAGTGTCATACAATAGTATTATATAATAGTATAGCAATGTGAGGGTTATTGATTATTTTTCTATCAAAATATGTGATCAAATTGAATACTATGAATGTGGTTTTCTTTGTGATCTAAGTAATACGACGGTATTCACCAAAACAAATCTGAAGTTTTTGAACAGATCAACTGACTAAAAATTAGTTTCAGTATAATAATTTAAGTTTATAGTAACCCATACCTGACAACCTACTCAGTTGATTTCCATACATAAACTGGGATGGGAGGGGGTCTGTAGGAAACGACACTGTTCGAATTGTACTTTATTGGAAGGCATTTTCACGAAGTTGATCTTTGATCTCATTTCGACGTTGGGACACGATCTGGTGTAGTATCCACCCTTGTTATAATAAGGGCGTTTTAAGGAAGAAAATTGGGGCATCGATATGCTTACATTAAGCAATAATCGATATGCTTACATTAAACAATAATCGATATGCTTGCAACAAACAATAATCGATATGCTTACATTAAACAATAATCGATATGCTTACATTAAACAATAATCGATATGCTTACATTAAACAATAATCGATATGCTTTCAATAAACAATAATCGATATGCTTACATTAAACAATAATCGATATGCTTTCAATAAACAATAATCGATATGCTTACATTAAACAATAATCGATATGCTTACATTAAACAATAATCGATATGCTTTCAATAAACAATAATCGATATGCTTACATTAAACAATAAGATCAATACGAAAAATGTGAATTTCAATTATCACATGGACATTAATCACTAAAATTAACTTTCATGCATTAGCTCATTTGAAATAACTATATGCTAATCATGTAAATTGTGAGTCATAAATTGGCATGAACCGGTTCTATTGGTTAGTAACATTCATGACTTGTTCTTATTTGTTATTAAGTTTTATAACATGTTTCTATTGGCCAGTAACTATAATAATATGTTTATCTTGGTTAATTACTGTTGTGACTTGTTTCTATTGGATATGGTCATAACCTGTTTCTATTGGATAGTAATTGTCGTGACTTGATTTCCTATTGGGCAGTACTTATTACGTAACTTGATTTCCTATTGGGCAGTAATTATTACAACCTTTTTCTATTTGGTAGTTACTGACACATGTATACTCTTCTCAAAATAGTCAATCGGTGAAGTGGAAACTTTTCGCATTATCTCTCGCGCCTTCGCAACTTGTTACAATACTTGTCCTCCACTTCATTCCTGGCTTCGCAACTCGTG